GGAGCATCGTCGTTGTCGTCCGCCGTCTTATCGAAGTTTCTCCGTCTCGATGGAGATCCAGAGAAGCTTCCCCAAGAATAGGAATCGTCCTCTGCGTCCCTCGGAGGGTGCCTAACGGAACGACGATCTCGGGAGACGGCCTTTGTACGGTCGATCGAACCGAAACAACAACACTCGTTCGTTCGAAACTTTTCTCGCGAGGCGTCGTCGACTGAAACACGTTGGAAAATCGGGGAATATTGGTAGCTATCCGTGGGGTCTTTTGGCGACGATTCAACCGTCCGGGACAATCGAAATGGTTCAAACGACGGGGATCTATGAGGATCGAACTTCAGTTCCGATGAGCAATTTTGCTGTCAAGGTCGCGACGTTCTGAGAATTTCTAAGCTTATCTGGGGGGTTCTGATGAGAGGCGGCGAGCAGCATATTGCATGCATTCGGATAGATTCTTGCGGGATAATGGGACTGAAGATAGGTAACTTGAGAGTGTATGGACTTTATAATAATAAACGATGGGTCACGAGATATTTAGGTTAAGACACAAAAATGGCGTCGATTCATCGATCCAATACAATAATGACTTGATCCTTATTAGATTAATAATTGTGTATTAAAGACGATGAATCTTAATACGGTAAAGAATCTTCTATTGCTTCTTGTATGAATAATAAAATTACTAGCAGAGTGATAATTAGGCTGTGGATATAATACATTCATAATGTATACGATCGGTTAAAAATCCGTATGTTAAATGTTAGATAACGTTTAACGACAATTTTGTTGCATTTACCGTCTCATACAATCCGCGATAGAAATACCCAATTTCTGTTCGATTTCAATTTCTCTAAATTGGACAATAAAGATTGGCAATGGCGGTCTCGCGGCTGTGTTGCGAGCCGGCCTTAAGGTCCGCTGGTAGCATAGAGAAAGGGACACGCTCCGATTGGTACGATCGATGCATGAGAACGGGCGGTTTTGCAGGCCGAGCGGCTCGGTGTGCTCGCGAGAACGCGCTCGCCAGCGGTATCAAAGTTCATCGCGGAATCACGGGAGCATGGGCGACGCCTTGAGGCGACTGCCTAGCACCCGTTACTTTTTCCCGAGCGATATTTACCCCCTCGAACCGTAAGGACCGTCGGGAAGTGTAAATTGCGTAATCGGGACGGAAAACGCCGGACTGAGTCCGTTTAATTGCGACGCGCACGTGTGGCAACACGATGAGGGCGCGCGCTCGACGAGGAAAACCGTTTTAAACATTAATGGAATCGTGGAGAACTGGGCCGTTTATGAGTTACGCACGGCTTATTCGCGGCCACGAACCGCTGAGAAAATGAACGACGACCGGCCAGCCCTCGTAATAGAAACGTCCAGTGTACTTTGACGTTTATTTCTGGATTGCCGGCGAATAAACGGTCACCACCGCCGATCCCGGGACAATCGTACGGATCTGGATCGATATCGAGGGTAGGGGTAGGAGGGGATCCGAAAGCGATACGAGAAAGCGGCTTATCAGCCGTTCGACGCTTATATATAGTTCGTTGTAGATCAGGTACGAGGCGACAGCGAGACAGCCGATAACCGATGGCAAGCTTGTTCGATGGTTTTCGTACGGCAATAAGGTCGAAAGAGACTTGGCAGCCGGCCCAACCCCCTCCCTACTAGATGGGCCTCAAAAAGTTTCCAGTTAATCGAACAATTAATCGATTACGAAATTATCACTGAACCGTGACAACCGCGAACGAAAGAAACACGGTTGCGCAACGGTTGCAGTTTTGCGTTAAATAATCATTAGCGATCGTAACGTGATATATCTTATATTTATTTATTTTTTCACATAGCCTCTCTTCCTCTACGGTTATTTATTTTTCAAGCTACATTTTTCCCCTTTGATTCTCGACCCATTAACGCGTTCACCGTTGTTCCCGTTGAGCAGAACACCACGGTTCCCCGATCGGCGACAGGTATCGATTAATCGAACGACTAGAATCGACGGATTGCCCGGATGAGAATAACGTCGGAGGGATCACCGGTTAATTTGCGTTCGCGGACACGAATCGATCCCCCGGGGATAAGGTGTATCGAGGGTGAACGTGAAACGAAAAGAGCCGATCGTCGGCGGCCGGTGACGCCTTTATATATTCGAAACCGGTCAGGGCTGGCGAGAAAAGGCACACGGCGCGCGGGCGACTTTCGCGATAGAGCCGTTGCAAATTTTTCCGTGGACGCCGAATAATATAATGGCTTTCACTTCGGCCGCGAGCCGGAAAACTAGCCGTCCGTGTGGTATACGGTCGAGGAATCGCGCCGAAAAAAAAAAGAATAAGAAGAAAAGAAACACGGCGGCTAATTACATTACCGAACAAAAGTATAGGACCAGAGTTCACGATCGATGGAACGGTATAATAACAGAATAAGTACATGTACGACTAATTTCGAATCAGATTTAACACTTTACTTTCATCGAAACTTTGTACAATACAGTACATCCTCGATTAGTGTTCGAAGGACAAGGGGAAGTCCCCAGGTGTAACGCTGACTTTTTTAATGCGGTTCAACACATTGGTAAAGCTTGGAATTCTGAAGCCAATGGTATTTATTTCAGCTGCATTTGACCGTTAGTTTATGAAATATTTAATATTCAATGCCGAGGAGCAGTTGAACACTCACCAAGGATTTACTGTAATGCTTTCCTTTTTCTTTAATTATCAGACCTGGTCCCATACTTCTGTCCAGTAGTCTAGGTACGATTCGGTTACATACTGTAACACGGACTCTCTCGCGTTACCCACCGCAGCGCGAGATTAAGTCATCTTCATGCTCTCGCCCGTCGTTTTTTTTTCCCAGGGTCGTCCCCGTTCCCCTTTATTCTCCTACGCCGACTTCTTCTTGCGCCGCGCGTTTGTTAGCATTGAATCGAGCCGTCGCGATCCTAGATACACCGTTGCGGTGGGTGGGAAAGGGGGTAAAGTCGCTTCATCGGAACCGTCCGTTTATCAGACGATTTCTTTCCACCTACGTCGTACGAGCGACCGCGCTGATCAACGGTTGCGCAATTATGGAGATTACGGTAGCTCGCGAACCGTGGAATAATGTTATCTCTGCAAATATATCTCGGGGAGCTGTCTGACATGAAAGCTAAAGGCTCGGGACGCTTCTTTGTCCGGTAAAAAAAGTGAAAATGCGATCGATTGTTACGGAGATCTGGTAACGAATGAAACACGTAGTTCTTCAATCGGTGTTATCATTGTTTGTTGAACGTCATCCGGTGAATTTTTGGGTTCAGTTTGGATAGGGTCGAAACAGAATATTCGAAAATGCAAATTCAAAGGAATCATCGTGATCTATAGGAAGCAACGATCTCACAGTTTCAGTTGATTGTGGAGTCCTGAGAGATTGCTGAGAAATTCGCTAGCCTCGATACAGAATTGCTAGGGTAGCACCTGAATTAATCCGACGTAACGTTAGGCTCGTGGTGGTGACTTCATAAGGGTGGAAACGATATGGTCACGCCGTAATTCAAAATTGTCGCTCGTCGAAGGAACTCAACCCCCCGAGGCAGTGGCTGGATCTCATTTCCAGGGTTCCCTGTATAACGCAGCGTGCCAGCTGGAATTAGTAGGTTGAGGTAATAAGTAACGACCGACGGCGGCGGCGATGGCAGGCAATTTATTTAGAAAAGAATTCAGGTTTCTTAAAGCCATTCAACGACCCGTAATTCCAACTCTTTAGAACGTTTCACGTTTGCCACTAACGTGAAACTCCGTTTCGACGCGAGGACCTCGTTTCCACGTAACGAGGGGGATATAATCTGGACCGCGCGTGTCGCCGTTCTTGGATCCACGTTTCTTCCTTTCATCTTTTCTTTCCTTTTCGCCAGGGAACGATAAAATTTTTCAGCTAACGATAGCTGAAGGAGAACCATCGGAATTCATCAAGGATACTGATCGTCTTTGAACTCTTGATTACCGTGCACGCGTGTTGCGTGAGGCCTTCATTCGCAATGAATGATCATAGAAAGTTGTATGCGTTTCAGAACTGACTGTTACTTTTGCAGTATGAAAATTCTACGAAATATCTATTATCAGCAAAAGAGGATTGCTCGTTGGACTTAAACTTCTTGGACTGGTCAAAATTTTATCAAATCCCTTCAAGTAGGACTCTAGATGTAGACTTCCTCGAGCTGGTAGTCCGATGATCAAATCCTACAACCTCAGAGTCAATCCCAAAATACACTATGAACGTCGAAACAGCATCGACATGATCTAGTCGAGTCAAAGCTCGAAGGTTGCTTCCATAAAGTGCACCTGCTGTCATAAAAATCTTAGTTACGCGACGAAACTTCGCGTTGAAGCTCATACTCTGAAGCGACAAAGTGCTTCCATTGAACGCTGAACACGCGCAACGCTAGGCCAGAGTTGCATCAGTCTTTCATCGATGCCAGATAGCCAGGGTGGCCCTGTCAAGGGACAAAAGGGATCGCTATGGTCGCTACCAAGAAGAAGCCTGCGATGTTAAATTTCGTGTCGAAGTTCAAAGCGTCGGTTCTGTAACGCGGTAAGCTTACACGAGAGAGCTGAATATGTCGTAGGTGACCAGGTAACCCGGGTGGTGCCTGGTTGCACTTGGTGTGGTCTGCCGTCGTGTGTAGGGCAGGATGGTGGGGCGGGTGGAGTAGGAGGCTGTTCTCTCCGGGGCCCGTTGGACGAAGCCCGTGGATTACCCGCGAACAACCTACAACGGCAACCTCTATCGGCGACGGAAAAGGGGGGGAGCCCCCTTTGGCCCCAAAGCAGCTGGTGGGACTACGTTCGTCTATGCTAGGCGGCACGGCACGACGTGGATTATAGTTTTTCTGGGGGGAGGGTGGTGGAGCGCCTTGCTTTCGAAAGGATGGTGATTGTGGAGCGTAGCCAGAGTAGAGTTAGGCGTATATAAGGCCCGCCGGCCCGGCCCAAGTCAGTCATTCACCGGACTACCAGCCCACCACACACATACCAAACATGAAGGCCTTTGTGAGTATCCACCACGGGGTTGGTGATTCGTGGGGTGTACGATCGGGGTACCGCGAATATTCTCGCCGTTCGCAGCGTGGTCGTTTAAAAACGCTCTGTTGCACCCGTGCGCCGTGATTCTCGATTAAATTCTGCCTCTTCTATCGCATAGTTCGCAATACAACAGTGTAACGGTATCCATCCGAGTTTGCAATTACGATTCATTGAAATTAATATTTCCTCGTGATCACCAGTCTTAATAATCTCATCGTGAATTTTTCCACTTAATTTCACCGCTGAAATACCGATCAATCGTCTCGGGATACACGAGCATCTAGCTCTCTTTTCTCTGGGACTCGTGGTGTTTGCACGACAATCGAACAGCGAGACAATGGTAGCCTCCAGTCAATCGGGAAATAAATCGATCTCTAATCGGAATCTCTGATTACACTCCGCCCAGATCGGTTAAAGTTACCAGAACGAAAGTACTTGTGTCACCTAAGGGGTTATTTGCTTTTCGTTCTCTTCCTCGTGGAGACATCGGCGCCGCGGAAACTGGTAATTCAATGTCACGGCTCGAATGTGTTCTCTTTCTCTCTTGTCCATTTTGCGCCACTGGTACTCTTGCCCTTCTTGCGCGGTTCCATTCATGCGACAAGAAGTCTCGTTGCACGGTACACTGACCGCTTCACGAAACCGGTTGCAGTAGCATCATCGTCATTCAGCAAAGAGACCGACCGTCGGACCGGTTCTATCCTCGGTGAATCTTCATTCACTGGCATCGTTCGTCATCCTAATACCGTTTGCCTCTTGTCCACTGACGTTCCGCTTAACCTGAAAAGTATAGAGTCGAATTCAGCTCGAACCGATTCCATTTCGCTCGAATCACTTTTTCGCGATTAATCAGACCGATACTGGAAATCACGATTGACTAGAGTCTCCGCTGATCCGCGGCGCCGTCTTCCACGCGATCCATGCAAAGTGCGCTCGATATCGTGATTTCGAAATCCTCGGTTTTCCGATCGCGGGGTCGCGAGAACGCTCGGTCGGCAACGTCACACGAGCACCGGTCGTTCCGCGTAAACGGGATGTGAAAGTTTCACCGAGACGTTGGATATGCATAGTACACAGTCCAACCGTTTAAGTGCGACTTAAGCTCTCCCCCCTCGGAGCTGGGCGTAACACGCGTCTAACGTTCAATCCTCCGCCGATCTCGTGCTTCGTGTTTCTAACCATCGTGTCTGCACCGTTCGGTTACGATCGAATCACGTCCGCCGGCAACAATTTTCTCTCTGAGAATTGTACATCCGATCGATTCGCGGGTAGAACCATTCCGCCCGATCGTTTCTTTCCAACCACAGGAAGAAACGATCGGCGGATGATCGAACATTTAAATTATTCCATAGAGATTTCTCGAGTGAGAAACAAGCAGACACGGGTCTTCAATTGCTCGAACGAATTCTATGAGCCTGGTTACGATCGTTCCCAAATAGATATTAACCAGCATTCCAATTAATTATGAATTCCTCGAGTATCCGGTGGGCTTGCAACGGATCAACGATTACGTTAATTCCCCGCGGCTTTAACTGCCGCGAACGATTGCATAAAACGCGATCGAGCCTCTTTTTCTGCGCGAACGGACAGCCTATTAGCGGAGATACCCTGAAAGAATTTCTTCCCCTAATATGGTCGTTAGGCGTGGTAAACCGGGCTGATTGATCGTGGAATAGGTGGGACACGACGGGGTAGGGGGGATAGTTAAAGCACGGGAAAGTGTAATCGATCCAACGATCGTTTCCCATTACGAAACGTTACAGGCAGTTTCGCTCGGTCTCGTGTTTTCTCGTCCGCCACACGGCGAACGAATCAAAGGCTCGCGTCTGTGACATTACGAAACAGTCTCAGCCTATCGTACGGGGTCAGGATATGAAAACATAACGGGGCTGGCTTCTGTGCTTTCACACTCGAGACACGATCTCCCGATCGGGATCTAATTCCCAGGTGTCGGGAATCGTTTCCCGATCGCTATAGGAAACGGTGATCCGTACGCCAAACGGGAGCTGGTATCGAAAGTGAAAGCCACGGTTATGTTGGTACGGGGCGCGTGGTAATCGGTGCCAGGCCAATGGGAGACTGAATTCGCGGTGATAGTCGGTACGTTGCTTCCGTAAACCGGCACGGATTAGTACAAGCTACCGTGTTCCCGTTTGCTCTTTTCTCCCTAATGATTTTCACCGTTCGTATCGACGCGACGCGACTTTCACGACTAGTACTCACGGACGAACGCGTTCGTAACCACCGAATCGTTTCTGTTTACGAATACGAACCTTGTTACTCGTTTGCCGGCAGATTGTGTTCGCCTGCTTGGCAGTAGCGACGGCCCGCGCCGGAATTGCGCACGGTGGTATCGGTCTTGGAGGTCTTGGAGGTCTCGGAGGTCATGGCGGTATCGGCGCCATTGGCGTGGGTATCGGCGGTGGCGGTGCCAGTCTTACCGGAGGACTTGCCGCGGGTGCGAGCAGCGCGTCGTCCCTTCAAGGTGGTGCCTCATCTTTGGGATCCGGCGGTCTTGGTGCTAGCTACGCTGCTGGTGCTGCGTCGGCGGCTGGAGCTGCTGGTGTACAACAGATTGTCTCTGGTGGTGCGTAAACGATGGACATTTCGATGAATCAGAAGGATTATAATTAACCGCGAGGTGGCGGTTCTTAATTATTTACCGGGGGTCACTTGTTTCTCTTCTCGTGCAGGAGTGATCGGAGGCAGGGCTGACATTGGACCCGCTGAAGGACCCAAGGCTAATGTTGGACCCCAGACTGGACCATCCGACCTCGTTGGACCCCAAGAAGGAGCCAAGAACGTTGGTGGACCCCGTACTGGACCCGCCGGTCTCGTTGGACCCGCCACTGGACCATTCACCAGTGTGGGAGCTTCTGCTGGTACCTCCACCCTTGTTGGACCGTCTCAGGGACGTGCCAACCTTGTTGGACCATCTTCCGGTGGAGTTGCTCTCCTCGCTGGAAGCGGAAACATCAACGGTGATGACGGAAGCTCTGGCTCTGCTGCCGCTGCTGCGCCAGCTGGTCTTGGTGCTGCTGGACTCGGTCTGGCTGGTGCTGGTCTGTATAAAATTCGTATCACTTGATTCAGCTGTATCGTGTATACGGTGTCATGTAAAACGTCTAACGGACACTATTCATTTGCAACCTACAGGTGCCATCGCTGTTGTCGGCGGTGGTGGTGGTATTGCTGGTGGACTCGGCGGACACGACGGTGGTGTTGCTGTGATCAACGGACCGTCCGGCGCCATCCATGCCGGTCTCGGCTCCCACGGAGCCGTCATCCCCGGGATCCTCGGCAAGTACTAGACGCTCTAAGGCCCCAGCGATCTCGGCTCGGCGACGGCGGCATTCCCACCACAGTCACTTACCGGTCTCAAACGATCCTCAAACGCGCTCAACGTCTTCTACCCAAAGCTTCGTCCAACCTAGGAACATGGTTCAAAAGCGCCGGCGTTAGTGGTGTAGTCGGTATAATAGTCGGAAATATTAATCGCAGTCCAGTCGGTATATATCGAGACACGGTGGAGGCGCGATGAGCCCGGAAGACCCGTTCCGATCGGTCGGCTCCCGTCATCGATCTCGGGTATAGATCACAACGGAAGTGTATACCGTGGTCCGGCCATTCGTGATCCGCGGCCTCGTCAACGGCCGTACTCTTCGTCGACGCGACCCGGCGTCCCGAACGGGACACGGGTCGAACATTATTTTTCTTTAGTCAATTTCGTTTCATCAACTGTAACGCGACCAAGAGGAAGCCGCGTTCGACGGCCGCGATTGCCTAGCCGCGATTGCAACTTCGCCGCGACGCGACGGCTACATCCAGGTCGCGATCTACGCCCGCCTCGTGCAACCCGGGAACATCGTCGACCGGTCGATCCGGCTTCCGTTACGAACAACAACGATCCATTGTTTACCGCGCCGACTCGAGTCAACGCGAGCACGTTGGACCCGGCTGCCCTCTTTCCTCCCCCCCCCCCC